GTTTTCAATTTTTATAAGATACAGAATGTTTTGACAAAGCAAAAGATGCCTATCCTTTTCTGCTTAACAGAACAAAAAGCAGCTCTGCCAAGATATGAAAATGATACTATTTGGTAAAGAGAAGAGAAAAAGTAAAAATTCATATCCAAAACAAGAGAACAGTGTTCTGCAGAGGACTACCCTTCATAAACCGTCTGGAGTGCTCTCATGGACTACACTAAAAACTCAGACATGCAGAGATTCCATTGTATCCAATTAACAAGGCATTCTTTCTATGCACCACCCCCTGGAATGTGGAAACAGCTTTGTTATTCAGTATCCATAGCTTTAAAGTTTGTTTTTTGAGGGGGGGGGTGGTTTTGCTTATTTGTTTCTTCCCTAAGTAAAAGAATAGCAATGATCAAGAATACAGAGGGTAAAATAGAGGCTAGAATACACACGAGATTCACTCTAAAGCTCTTTTATTACCACAAATGATTACGGAGGAAAAACCAATAACGAATATCTAGTTATTTTATTTTAGTGGATCTGCTACATAACTAGATCATACTCTACCAGATATAAAACTGTAGCAGATAGGGACACCTGGGTGGCTCAGTTGGTTAAGCAGCTGCCTTCGGCTCAGGTCATGATCCCAGTGTCCTGGGATGGAGTCCCACATCAGGCTCCTTGCTCATCAGGGAGCCTGGTTCTCCCTCTGCCTCTGCCTGCCATTCTGTCTGCCTGTGCTCGCTCTCTCTCCCTCTCTCTCTCTGATAAATAAATAAAATCTTAAAAAAAAAAAAAACTGTAGCAGATATTCAGGTAAAAATAAGTGATTTTGACCCAGGAGAAAACAAGATGATGTAGCTATCTTCTCATTCAGGCTTCTTTTCCTTCTCTGTTAAATACTGGGCATTTTTAAGGAAGGAAACAATTCGGGAATTACAGTTTATAAACAAGGATGCTCACCTACTTAGAGAATGAAACAAAACAAAACAAAAACACGATTTCCCACTTTTCCTATTTCCCCATGCCAAAACATACAACCCAGTATTTCTTTAAATACTTTGTGTAGATTACTCATTTTAAGGAAATTTATTTTAATCCAATACCTATTTACTCATACTACACTGGTACAATGGGTCATTAAGATAATCCATTGTTCTTCTTAAAAAAATGCTATAGTAGTGAACATTTTAACTATTTAGCTGGAAATAATTAACTGGTTCTAATATTATAAGTACTTTTCCTAATTAAAAATAGGTATCTTCATATTATTTCCTGAAAGTGCTGAAAGCACAGTATCATTGTATAAGAGCCAATGAGAATGAGGAAAACAGAAAGATTAAACTCCCTTCAGAGAGTAGAACTTTCCTGTCTCAGGCAATGCTGTAACACATCTTAAGCATTCCTCTCTGGATACTTACTCCTTAGAAATTTTTAGTAAAGTGTATAGCTCAAAGAATGTTTACATATGTAACATCCAATTAACCATCACCCAGATCAAAGATAAAGAACTTTTCTATCACTGTAAAGATTCTGTCATACTCCTTCCCAGTCAATATTCTGGGACCACTATTCTGATTTCTATTACCATATTTTCACTTTGTCTATTCCCTATATTTATTAAAAAAAAAAAAAGAACTTATATAGTGTCTACTCTTTTATGTCAGGCTTTTTACTCAAATATATATATATATATATTTCAGATTTTTAATTTATTTATCAGAGAGAGAGACAGTGAGTGCATGCACAAGCAGGCGGAGTGTCAGGCAGAGGGAGAAGCAGGCTTCCCGCTGAGCAAGGAGCCTGATTTGGGCCTTGATCCCAGGACAGTGGGATCATGGCCTGAGCCAAAAGCAGACGCTCAACCAACTGAGCCACCCAGGCATCCCAATAATATATTTTTGGGATCACCCAAGGTACATTTATTAGTAGTTCATGTTCTTTTTTATGGCTATGTAGTATCTCTTTTTACAAATATACCAGTTTAGAGACATTTGGGTTGTTTCCAGTGCTTAGCTATTATGAGTACAGTTGCCGTGAACATACATGTTTTTGGTGAATATATGCACTCAGTTCTCTCATGTTTACATCAAGGAGTAGAATTGCTGGGTCCCAGGGTAGGTATATGTTCATTTTTAGCAGATACTGCTAGTTTTCCAAAGTAATTGAATCAATTTACACTTCAATCAGAATGGTTAAGAGTTATCTGAATCCTTGCCGAATCTTGTAATTGTTTTTAATTTTAGCCATTCTAGTGGGTATATAGTCATGCTCGTTATAATTTTAACTGGTATTCCTCTGATGAGTGATGATGACACTCTTTCATCTGGATACCCTCTTTTGTGAAGTGTGTGTTCAAATCTTCTGCCTATTTTTAAATTGGGTTTTTTACTCTATTACAAGTATTCGATATATCCTGAGTATGTGTCAGGTATGTGTATTAAAATATCTTCTCCCAGTCTATGGTGTACCTATTTAATTTCTTGATGATGTCTTTTGATGAAAAGACGTTTCTAATTTCAATGAACTCCAATTTTTCAATTTTTTTAATTGTTAGAATTTTTGGACATCTTTTTTTCTTGCAAGGAAACTCAAACTTTTTCTAAAAGAAAAATTTAATATCACCTTTACCTAGTTCTAAGTTATATTGGAGGTGGTTCACAATAAGACCAGGCACAACAAAAACCACAAACCAACTGAAATAAAGGTCAAAAGCAAAAAAAAAAAAAAAAAAAAAAGGAGGGGAAGGGACGGTGAAGTTATAATGAGAATTGTTAGCTACAACAAAGACCTAAGCTAAAGGAAGACACTGAACTTTAGTTGTGAGCTTCTTGGCAAAATTGTTTTTTTAAATTTCTTAAAGTTATAAAAACACATACAAAAAGGATAGACTCAAACCTGGAGAGTTTCTTTATGAGGCCAGTGTGAAATTTACCACACTCTAAATTTAAATCTAATTCAGAAAAAATTGGCAGTGAGGGGCGCCTGTGTGGCTCAGTCCTTAAGCATCTGCCTTTGGCTCAGGTCATGATCCCAGGGTCCTGGGATTGAGCCCCACATCTGGCTCCCTGCTCAGCAGGAAGCCTGCTTCTCTCTCTCCCACTCCCCCTGTCTGTGTTCTTTCTCTTGCTGTGTCTCTGTCAAATAAATAAATAAATAATTTTTTAAAAAATGAAGAAAAGAAATTGGCAATGATGCACATTCATGTGGATAAGGTCGATGTGAGATTTGTAACACTCCAAATAATGAAATAAAATCATGGAGACAGCATTCAGAAGAAAATGGCAATGAGAATGGAAAGCATCAAAAAGATTTAGTTTTATATCATTTCTAAATTTGTTGTTCATTTGAGCCACACCTTCCCTTCCTTAAGAGAATAGCAATAACCAATAATGGCAATAAAGAAATCAAACTATCAATTGTCCCTTTTCAATCTAATTCTCATCCATGAAAATGTTAAGGTTTAATACAGGATAAACCTACTCAACAGCAACTGAGAATTCTTAGGACAAAAAACAAACGAACAAAAAAAACCGATGCAAGTGCTTCACATCACTTTAGGGAAAAAAAAAAAAGTACTAAAAATTCTCACCCCCCCCCCCAATTCTAGAAAGCTCAAGACAAGTTTTTCAAAGACCAGGAAATTTATTTTTTCTGTTCCAAATCTTACTATTTCACCCTGCCTAAATAAGGATTTGTGTCTATATTATGACAATATTTGAAGCAAAGCTTTTTCACAGATTACTAAAGCACCTCATCATAACCATTACTCCTACTTCACAACATCATAAGAAACTATTTTTACAGCCATTTGACAGCCAGAGAATCTGTGACATACAAAGGTGAAGTAACCTGCCCAAACTCTTGAGTCACTGGCAAACAAACACATGTACTCAACTCCATGTTTCCCGGCAACTATTTCCTTTCATCCTGTCACTAGTAAAACAAGCCTGTTGGTAAACATAACTACTTCAAAAAAAAAAAAACAACAAAACAAAAACAACCCTCGAGTAGAAGTTTAAGTGAAACAAAGACCCTGCAACAGAGATAGTTCCAAGAACACATGTTCACAGTGAACCCTTTAAGGAAACTCCTCGCTTACCCCAATTTCTTTAGCTGAAGTAATCTCTTCCCGCCGTGAGCCCCCCTACCTTGTTGTAGTTATTTCTCCCCAATGAAAGGAAACAATTCCACCCTGTCTTCCAATCCAGAATCACTCTGAAATGGGTTAGCTCTTCCCAAAGTCCTGCTTTTCTGATGACAGCAGCTTCCCCGGCCTTCCCCTTAGTCTTCATAGGTTCTGGAAGCAGCTGCCACTGTCCTCTGAACACCAATCGCGGCCCCTAGTTCCCAGCCCCCCGGCCCGGGCGTCCGCGCTCTCCTCCCCACCGCCCTACCCCACCGCGGCTTCAGGCCCTCCCCCCACAGCGTCGCCAGCTCGTGCTCACCTCGGCCCCTGACAGGAAGGGGTGCGAGGGCCCTGTGATCGTCAGGTAATTGTCATTTCCTCCGGGAAACTGGAAACCAAAAGAAAGCCGCGGGGATAAGTTAGGGGGAGTAGGGAACTAGGATAGAGCGAAGGATTCTGTCCCCGACATTCTGACAACACTTCCAAACCCGGCTCCCTTCGCCCCTCCCATCAGCAGCCTCTCCGCCCGGCTTCCCGCCTGTTTCGACTCGGTCGGCCGCACTCTCTCGCCAGCCTTCTTAACGCTCAGGTTCCTACCTCCATCTTCACACAACGGCTACCACCGTCTCAGTTCCCTCATCGCTCCCACCGCCCCCACCGGACTCGAACTGCCGTCATTTCCTCAAGGACGCGCGTCGCTCTCCGCTGATTGGAAGGAGAGCCGTGGGGCTGCTGCCGGGAAGGCCGAGAGGACGGAAAGGGTAGCTACCGCCCCCTGGAGCTTGGTGGGATAATGGCAAATAGAAGTATTGGAAGCGTCCCTCGAGGTGCTGTCCGGGTATTACAGTCCCTCCAACCGAGAGAGGATTTCAGGAGAGAGCAATAGAGACGTGATCTGGGCTAGAGGGGCCAGAGATCGGTCGATTGCGCGGCTAGAGAGGCCGGAGGTTAGTGGCTGTAGAAGTCGGGCGGACCCGGAATCCAGAGGAAACGGGACCATGACTTATGCTTATCTCTTCAAGTATATCATCATCGGGGACACAGGTAAGCTGCGGGCGACTACCCTCACGGCTGGGGCGGGGATCCGAAGTTCACAAATCGGGGCGTGGGGCGGGGCTCATTTAGTGGGCTGGGCGATTAAATGAAGAGCGGGCGGGGGCGGGGCGGCCGGGGGCGGGGCTCGGGGCTCCCCTTCCCCAGCCCCGGACGCCCGGACTCGAGATTGTTCTTGGGCCGCGTGACTCGTAGAACGTGCGTCTTCCTTTTTTAGGTGTGGGGAAGTCATGTCTCCTCCTGCAGTTTACAGACAAGCGGTTCCAGCCTGTCCACGACCTCACAATAGGTAGGTCCACCTACCTGTCGCAGAAGAGATAACGAAACCTGACTAGCTGAAGTGGGAAGTTAGCTGGCTTCGGTATTCCAAGTGAAAAGTTACCTTTTCCTATTTTTAAGCTAGTCGAAAGTTATGGTAAATAAAGAGTGACTAACAGAATGCTGATAAATGGGGAGTAAATCATTGAAAGGTAACTTCAGAGATGGGCGTGAGATATGGGTTCATTGCCCTGGGGCTTTTACCCCCTAAATATAATTTGTATGTTTATGGAAAATTCCACGAAAGCTTAACTGTTTATTAAAAAAACTCACCTTGTTTTGTGGTAAGTTAGTGCAAACGTCACATATGTTTTTCAAAGTGATCACCAACACGTAGATATTTTTGTGTGTTGGAGAGGAAGTAGTAAATTTGAAGAGCCCTCCCAGACTTGAGTTAGAAGGTAGATGAAACAAATGACTTTTAAAGAAAAGAGTATAGTAGAATTCCAAAATCACACTGGTGATAATGGAAGGCGGAAACATTTGCAGCACATTTGTATTAAGGCAGGGGCCTCCTGGGACTTTAGCAACCCCTTCTCCATAATCTCCATAACCCAACTCCAAATGAGTAATGTATCTGAAACTAGCCTTCTTGCCACGCAAATGCAGTTTCTGAGTAGAATCCCTAACTCCTGGGCTCCTGGTTGGCTCAGCGAGCTAAAGCCTCTGTCTTCCGCTCTGGTCATGATCTCAGGGTCTTGGGATCAGGGTCCTGGGATCTGAGCCCCACATCAGGCTCTCTGCCTGCTTTCTGCCTACTTGTGTTCTCTCTGTCAAATAGATAAAATCTAAAAAAAATAAAATAAAATCCCTAACTCCTATCCTTATTGAAATCTGAAGCTACTTCTGCTCCTGTACACCTTATTCAAAGCCAAATAAGTAATGGGGTTAGAAAAGGATTTAGAGGATAACATCTACAGGAAAATATCTTTGTAAGTTAATATGAAGTGAGCACAGTGTAAAAGGTGCCAATGATATATAGCGCTTAATTAGGCAAACGTTGTGCCTGTCCTTAAGTAGCTTATAGTCTGCCAATATAGGAGGGAGCTGGAACAGATGCTGATAACTAAATTCCTATGGTAAAAGGGGAGGAGAGGCTGCTACCTCTATCTGGAAAGGCTGAAAATTGAATGAATAGGAGTTAGCCTGGCACAGGGGTTGTAGAGATGGAAAGGTGGTCAGGGCAAGAAGAGAATAATGTTTGCAAATGATCAAGAATGTCCGATCAGACTACCTTTGGAAAAGAAAGTGATTTAATATGGCTGGAGCATGAAATTTCAAGTGGAGAGTGACAAAAGATAAAGCTAGAGAGTAAATTAGAGACCAAGTTATAAAACAGCTAAAGGTAATAAGCAAGTGACAGAAGATTTAAAAATATTTTATTTATTTATTTGATAGAGTGAGCAAGTGAGAGAGCACAAGCAGGGGTAGCAGCACAGGGAGAGGGAGAAGCAGACTCTCTGCTGAGCAGGGAGCCTGATGTGGGGCTCATCCCATGCCCTTGGGATCATGACCTGAGGTGAAGGCAGATGCTTAACCCACTAAGCCACCTGGGCGCCCTACAAATAACAAATTTTAAAGTGGAGGAATGAAGTGATAAGTTTTTGCCAGAGTCCTGTGTAGACTCTGTTTCTTTCTGAATTCAGTCTTTTTTTTTTTTTAAAGATTTTATTTATTTATTTGACAGAGAAGCAGGCAGAGAGAGAACGGGAAGCAGGCTCCCCACTGAGCAGAGAGCCTGATGTGGGGCTCAATCTCAGGACCCTGAGATCATGACCTGAGCGGAAGGCAGAGGTTTAACTCACTGAGCCACCCAGGTGCCCCTGAATTCAGTCTTATATACCAAGATAAGACACTTGGATAGAAAATACATGCAAAATATAAGGATCTCTGAGTGCATAACTGGGGGAAATTGGATAGAAGACAAGTTCTATTTTTTTAATTCGCTTTTCAAATTCCATTTCTGTTGTCCAGAAAGGAAAAAAAAAAATCTAGTGATTTTTTTCACTAGTTATCACTGTTCTTGATGAAGCAGTCTAGAGTAGTAAGAAACATTTTTTTATGTCTTACTAACTGCAGCATCTGAGAGAGATAGTCCAGTTAATATTGTGTGTGGAGCCACTGAATAGGCATCTATCAGCCCTTTAGCAGAAGCTAAGTTTTAGTGTTCTTTCTTACTTGGAAATCAGAATTCCTCTAGTAAAAGTACCATATGAAAATAGAATGTAGGACAAATTGTCTGACTTATGATCAAGTATTTTCAAATTTTTTTAAAGATTTTATTTGTTTGACAGCGAGATCACGAGTAGGCAGAGAGGCAGGCAGAAAGAGAGGGGGAAGCAGGCTCCCCGCCGACCATAGAGCTGGACATGGGGCTTGATCCCAGGACCCTGAAACCATCACCCGAGCCGAAGGCAGAGGCTTAACCCACGGAGCCACCCAGGCACCCCAGTTATTTTCAATTTGAGCAACCTTCAATTTTAAGTTTTGTCCTAACATTACTTGAAAGAAGATGAATGCCAGGTAGACTAAAATGTTTATTCAGACTGTCAGTTTCCATAATCCTATGAGGAAGGCTATTTTCTGATAAACTGTGGGAATTAGTAGAGATCTGAAATGTATCATTCTTGAGAACATATTTCTTAGGTAGGCTTTTTTCTCAAACAAAAAATTAAGGAATTGCAAAAAAGGAAATACTGGACTAGGGAGTGTCTTTGAGAAAATTTCAGGAAATACTTCAAAATTTTTAGATTTTTTAAAAAAGTTACAAAATTAAATGAAATTTAAGTATTAACATTACTAAAAATTTATTCACCTTTTCTACTTCTTAATTAGTTTCATCTCCATATCTGCTTTTTGGTTACATTCCTGAGGTCATTATTACCTAGATTTTAATTTTTAATTCTAGGAGGAAAATGAAGGTTTAAGAAACACAAAATTAGATGTAGCAAATAGCAGTAATAGGCTTAGTGGTACTGAGTGCAGACAGAGAAGCAATCAGTTGGCATATTGGGGAAAAACATGAACCTTTCAACATGGGTGATGTTCATGAGAATCACATCCTTTGTTTTGCTCTTCACTGACAGGTGTAGAGTTTGGGGCCCGTATGGTCAACATTGATGGAAAACAAATCAAACTGCAAATTTGGGATACGGTAAGAGAGAACAGAACTCCTTAGTCCCTGACCAAGATCCAAACAGAACAGTAAAGGCTGATGCAGGGGCAAGGGGCTATGAGGGTGGGGATGATGGTAGGCATAAGAGTAGGGGAAGAGTTTTCACTTTTATCTGTTACGGTTAAAATTCTGAATGCCATATCTTTGTATTTTTATTTTAAATTATTCAAGTAGTGTATGAGTTTGACCTAGTAAAAATAAAAGCAAACGATGTAAGTGTATAGAGTAAAATTTGAATGTTCCCTTTTACACACATAAACCTCTTCCTTCAGTTCCTGGTTTCTGCCTATCCAGTGGGAATGTTTCAGTGGTTATACTTCCAGACTTTTTCTTTGTGTTCAGATACATACACATGTACAAATGTATGGTAGTGATTTTGTTCTTATTAGTTTTACTTGTATAGAATCATAGCTGAGTAGACCTAGCTATGTGAATTAGTTTTTTTACTTAATAATTTCTATGTTTTGGATACTTCCATGTAGATTCATATATCTCTATCTCATTCCTTTTAACCACTATATAGACTCATTAAAAAGTCTGTAACATCGTTTATTTAACGATCCTCTCAATGATTGAAATTCAGGTTTCCAGTTCTTATCTTTGCAAATTTTCATTGAATGTCCTTGATTACCACATCTTTATGCAAATGTTTGAGAATTTCTGTGGAATGCCTGCCCAGAAATGGAAATTCTGGGTCAAAGTTTATGCATATTTTAAAATTTGACAAATGTGGTACTCCCAAAATTTCGCTTGACTTCGTATAATTTTGTTTTATCCACATAAATTGCTTTTACATATATTATCTCATTTAATTTGTATCTTTTCTTTTCTCTAAGAAAAATAATACCCCATCTTTATTTGAAGTTAAAGAAAGCAAGCACAGAGTTGCTTAATATTCAGCTAAAATCTGTTTTTGTTTACTTATTATTTGATTTTTTTTCAAAACTCAAGAGCTGAAGGAAGCCCTTAGAGCTATAAGCAGTACAGTGATTTTCCTTTTCTCCTCCCTTTCTCCTCCTCCCATCCTCTATCTCCCTATGCATGCAGGTATCTGTCTTAAAAGTACAATTGATCCTTGAACAACATATGTTTGAATTGTGCAGGTCTGTTCATATGTTAATTTTTGTCAATAAATGCACTATGGTACTGTAAGTGTATTTTAATAGTTTATTCTCTAGCTTATTTTACTGTAAAAATACAATATTTAATAGAAATAATATATAAAACGTGTTGATTAACATGATACAGTATGGGTAAGTCTTCTAATCAACAGTAGGTTATTAGTAGTTAAGGTTTGGTGGAGTCGAAGTTATACTAGGGAGTTATATGACTGCATGGTGGCCAGGGTCCCTAACTCCCCTCTTGCTGCAGAGTCAACTGTAAGTTAACTTGCAGTTGTAAGTTAACTTGTTACCTTGTAAGTAAGTTGCTCTAAGCCCTTTTTGCAGAGTCTTTTTCTGGTGGCCTCCATGGTTGTCACCATTTCTGGGTGTGCTGATTAACTAGATTAACAGGTGCTTTTAGCTAGAATCATATTCTCTTGTACATTATTTGGTTGTATTTGCAAGTATTTTAATAACCTTTTGCCCTTCTGAACAGACTTACATCTCTAATAGTGGAAGCACTAGCCATATACCTCTGAATATTCCACACTTTTTTTTTTTTTTTTTTAAGATTTCATTTATTTATTTGACAGAGAGCACAAGCAGGGGAAGTAGCAGAGGGAGGTGGAGAAGCAGCCTCCCTGATCAGCAGTGAGCCTGATGTGGGGCTCCATCCCAGGACCCTGGGATCATGACCTGAGCCGAAGGCAGGGCCTTTAACCCACTGAGCCACCCAGGCGCCCCTCCCTTATGGTTTTCTTAACAACATTTTCTTTTCTCTAGCTTACTAGAAACAAAATGTGTGTTAATCAATTTTTTTTTGTTATGGGTAACCCTTCTGGTCAACAGTAGGTTATTAGGAGTTAAGTTTTTAGGGATGCCTGGCTAGCTTAGTGAGAATGGCACGTGACCCTTGATCTCAGGGTCATGAGTTCAAGCTGAAGCCCCATGCTGGATGTAGAGATTACTTAAAATAAATAAATAAAATTTATTTAAAAAGTCGTTAAGTTTTGGGGGAGTCAAAAGTCATACGCAGATTTCTGACTGTTTATGTCCCTAACCCCCACACTGTTTAAGGGTCAACTGTCATTTGAAGTATTTATTCCTATGAGTCAGAAAGGCTCATTTCCTAAGAATCAAAATGCATTCTTGAAGTAAAACACAAATGAGTTTGGGACTGACCCGTATTTTATATTAACTAGAGTATAACGCTTTCTCGTTTAGCATGGGTTATTTGGGCAATTATATGTACAGAAGAAAAGGGATAAAAACAATATACTGTTCTCCAGGGGCATCTGGCTGGCTTGGTGGAACATGCAACTCTTGACCTCAGTCAGGGTCATGAGTTCAAGCCCCATATTGGGCATGGAGCCTACTAAAAAGAAAAAAAAAAAGGTAATACAGCTCTCTAAATCCTTAGATAATAACCAGAACAGTGACAACAAAGCACTAGGTAACTTGATCTCTTTAAAAATTCCCTTCATGGGGCGCCTGGGTGGCTCAGTGGGTTAAAGCCCCGCATCTGGGCTCTCTGCTCAGCAGGGAGCCTGCTTCCCCCACTCTCTCTCTGTCTGCCTCTCTGCCTACTTGTGATCTCTGTCAAAAAAAAAAAAAAAAAGGAATCTTTAAGAAAATAAAAATAAAAATTAAAATACCCTTCACGATAATCCCTAAGTATTTTCACGCAGGATGACTTTGGGAGTATGTGAGAGAATGGGGTCAACAAAATGGGAAACTAACGTGGGTAAACAAGGAGTAGATCAGGACTGACAAGGGAAAAATGATCAGGCTTACCCAGAGAATGGCACACAAGAAACACAATACATTATAGACAGGAATCTCTTAAAAATTTCAAATACAGGGGCGCCTAGGTGGCTCAGTCATTAAGCATCTGCCTTTGGCTCAGGTCATGATCCCAGGGTCCTGGGACTGAGCTCCACATCAGGCTCCCTGCTTGGTGGGAAGCCTGCTTCTCCTTCTCCCACTCCCCCTGCTTGTTTTCCCTCTCTCTCTGTCAAATAAATTAATAAAATCTTTGAAAAAAAAAAAAAAAAGTTTGTGGGGTGCCCGGGTGGGTCAGTCAGTTGGGTGGCTGCCTTCGGCTCAGGTCGTGATCTCGGAGTCCTGCTTCCTTCCTCTCTTCTCTGCCTGCCTCTCTGCCTACTTGTGATCACTGTCTGTCAAATAAATAAATAAAATCTTTAAAAAAAAAAAAAAAGAAAGAAAACCATAAGAGAGGGATGCTTAGGTGGCTCAGAGGGTTAGACATCTGCCTTTGGCCCAGGTCATGATCCCAGGGTCCTTGGATTGAGCCTTGCATTGGGCTCTCTACTTGGAGGGGAGCCTGCTTCGCCCTCTCCCTCTGCCTGCACTTCTCCTGCTTGTGTGCGTTCTCTGTCAAATAAATGAATGAAAATCTTAAAAAAAAACCAAAACAAAACAAAAAGCAAACCTTAAGGGAGAGGTGTGCCTGGGTGGCTCAGTTAGTTAAGCATCTGACTCTTGATTTCAGCTCAAGTATTGATGTCAGGGTTGTGAGTTCAAACCCTGCATTGGGGCTTAAAAAAATTTTTTTTAAATTGAAAAAGAAAACCATGAGGGAGTAAATGCATTTACAGTGCTGTGCTATAAAGAATCCGTGTAAATGAACCAGAGCTGTTCAAACCCATGTTGTGTGAGGTTTAATTTTGTATACCTTGAAACCATACGACAATTCTTCCACTTGGGAGAAATTCAAAAGGTGTTAATTCTTTTTATATACTGTATATCTTCATCTTAATTCTATGCTGATTCAGATTTGTTTAATGGGGTTGGACAAAGATACCTAATATCAACACAGACCAGCCCAAATTGAACCACTCACTCTTTCTAGGTTATTGGTTCAGCAAAACCGTTGATGAACTAGACTGAGATGAAGAAGTAAACAGATTTGGTTTTTGATTTTTAACTTAAAAAAATACATTTTATTTATTTTGAGAGCGAGAGAGGAAAAAAAAAAGTTGGGATGGGGCAGAGGGACAGTGAGAAGCAGACTCCCCACTGAGCAGGGAGCCCGACATGGGGCTCAATCCCAGGACTCTGGGATCTTGACCTGAGTGTAAGGCAGATGCTTAACTGACTGAACTGTTTTTTGTTTGTTTGTTTGTTTATTTGTTTAATTCTTTATTTATTTTAGAGAGAGAGCTTGAGACATGCTTGCAAGCAGGGGGAGGGGGCAGAGGGAGAAGGAGAGAAGCAGACTTCCTGCTCAGGGGGAGCGCAACATGGGCTTGATCCCACCACCGGGACCTGGGTTGAAATCAAGAGTCAGACACTCAACCGACAGCTACCACCCAGGCGCCCGAGGGATCTGTTTTTAAGAGGCATTTTCTGATGAGCCCCTGGAAGTATTTTGGCTGCTAAAGTTAAATGCTGCCATGTGCTTCAACCATCACATAGGTCTCCCTCAAGATTTCCCTTTAGTTCCTAGAACAACAGAGGGAGGGAGGGGCCTTTCAACAGCAGCAGAAGAGAAGAAAAAGGTAAAAGCAAAATGGGAATCAAATAATTTAAGACCTAAAACTATTTGGGACTAAATAAAACGTTAAGTGAGCTCTTTAGAGAGGAAAAACATGTTTTAAATCTTAAAGTAGCATTAATATTACCAATAAAGTCCTTTTTTTTTTAAGATTTTATTTATTTATTTGAGAGAGAGAGAGAGAGACACAGTGAGAGAGGGAACACAGCAGGGGGAGTGGGAGGGAGAAGCAGGCTTCCTGTGGAGCAGGGAGCCTGATGCGGGGCTCGATCCCAGGACCCCGGGATCATGACCTGAGCCAAAGGCAGATGCTTAACAACTGAGCCACTCAGGCACCCCACCAACAAAGTTCTTTAGAATTATTTTTAATTTTGGTGTTCTAAGAGGCACACAGCTCACTAAAACATTTGTATTATTCTTGTAGAAAGAGAGTCTCATGTTGTTGGAAAAATAACCTTACAATTAATGTACTGGAGCTCTCTTCTCACCTTCAAACCCAGGTTTAGATTGTATGATGTAATGGCTAATAGAACAAACCTTTGAGCTAGGGTACACTAAGATCCTGAGTTTAATTGTGTATTCAGTAGTTATGGATTTTATAACTTTTGGCTAATTACCCCTTTGAGGTTCAGTTTTCCTATTTGTGTTATTATTAGTATTCACTGAAAACTATTTACTGAATACTATTCACTAATATTATTAGTATTCACTCTCTCTGCCTGCCTCTCTGCCTACTTGTGATCACTCTCTGTCAAATAAATAAAATCTTTAAAAAAAATTGCTCAGTTATAAATATCTGGGCCCCATTTGGAAATGAGATGAGTATAAATATTTTTTTTAAAGATTTTATTAATTTATTTGACAGAGAGAGACACAGGGAGAAAGGGAACACAAGCAGGGGGAGCGGGAGAGGGAGAAGCAGGCTTCCTGCTGAGCAGGGAGCCCGATGTGGGGCTTAATCTCAGGATCTTGGGATCATGACCTAAGCTGAAGGCAGACACTTAACAACTGAGCCACCCAGGCACCCCTGAATATTGTTGTTTTTTTTTTTTTAAGGAAGACTCTATACTGGACCATGGGCTTCTTTCCCTATTCCTTGTTCTTACTTGCTATGACAAGATCCCTTGGTAGTCCCACCGTAGTGGTGGAACACTAAGTGTCAGCATATACCCAATTTAAGTGCTTTGTATCTGACTGCTTTTCTACATTGACCCATTGGAATGGACCCAATTCCATTAGACAAGGAATTAGCATTCTAAGATAGTTTCCTTTTTACAGATAAAAGAATATAAATAGGTTAATGTGATGTGTTAAGTATCATGTGGGGATTGAAATGCTCTTGAGTTTCTAGTCTTATTTCCAGTTGTTCTCTCCTAGAGGATATTGGAAAATGTATGAGAATGTCTTTGTCATAAAGTTAAGTCCTTTGTGTTAGAGTGGCATGTGATCAAGTCCTTTCTCTGGAAATAACCTGGTTTTGTTGGGAATTTTTTGTTGCCATGTTGGTGGGAAAGGCTGGGCAAGAATCCTTCCGCTCTATCACCCGTTCCTACTACAGGGGAGCAGCTGGAGCACTGCTAGTGTATGACATCACTAGGTGAGTCCGATCAGGTGGGCAGGAGGGAGCCTTTTCCCCATGTTCTCAAAATCTTTTTCTTTCCTGTGTTCTGGTTCTGGTAAGAATACTAAAGGGGAAAGGCTTCTCTAATATTTTCTTTTACACATGTAGCTTTCCCCCTTTTCCCATGTGTTTGGAATTCCTTTGGCATTTTGAAATGGACCTCTGATCCACTTTTAAACTTTCCTGCTGTAGGCGTGAAACCTTCAACCACCTAACCTCCTGGTTAGAGGATGCCCGGCAACACTCCAGCTCCAACATGGTTATCATGCTGATTGGGAATAAGAGGTAAAATTTTATTTGTAGAAATAATAAGGACCAGAATTCATGTAAGTGCTCTGTGGACATTGAACTACTTGGTCCCTAAACTTCTTTAGTTTATGGTGCTCTTTATTTAAAAAAAATAAAAAAATAGTTGTGGTAAAATATGCATAAGGTAGACTTTCATTTTAATCATTTTGTTTTTAACGTTTTTATTTACTTAGAGAAAATGCATGCACGAGGAGAGAGAGATCGAGCGTGCACAAGCAAGGGGAGCAGCAGGCAGAGGGAGAAGGACAAGCAGACTCCTTACTGAGCAGGGAGCCCACATGGGGCTCAATCCCAGGATCCTGAGATCATGATGAGGGTCAAAGACTCTTTTTTTTTTTTTAAAGATTTTATTAATTTGACAGAAAGGGAGACAGCTAGAGAGGGAACACAAGCAGTTGGAGTGGTAGTGGGAGAGGGAGAAGCAGGCTTCCCGCTGAGCAGGGAGTCTGATATGGGGCTTGATCCCAGAACCCTAGGATCATGACCTGAGCTGAAATCAAGAGTTGAAAGCTTAACTGACTAAACCACCCAGGCACCCCAATTTTGTACTTGCTTTTTATCATAGCAACTGCCAAAAATTCAGGTTCCACAAACATATGCAGATATTGAACAGGATCTCTTTTGATCTGACAGGGATCTTGCAAACAGTCTTAAGTTTATAACTCATGTGGTGTTTTTTGTTGTTTTTTTTTTTAAGATTTTATTTATTTGTCAGAGAGAGAGAGAGAGGGAGAGAGAGCGAGCACAGGCAGACAGAATGGCAGGCAGAGGGAGAGGGAGAAGCAGGCTCCCTGACGAGCAAGGAGCCTGATGTGGGACTCGATCCCAGGACGCTGGGATCATGACCTGAGCCGAAGGCAGCTGCTTAACCAACTGAGCCACCCAGGCGTCCCCTCATGTGGTGTTTTAATGTTGAGTGTTAACTGTGTTTCCCTCGAAAATTTATCGTGTGGCCAAAAAAAAGAAAGTATCCTGTGGCACTCTAGTGGGTTTGTAGTAGTGCCTTAAGTGTACCACTTGAGAGAGCTGTGGCCACAGACTTACTATACTTACTTATTTGAACTGTGTTCTAAATGTCTATTTGCCAGATCCTGAAAGTACAAGGTGAGAAGAGTCATGCCCCTGATTCTATGGAGCTTATAGTTTATTGGCGACATAAATATTAAATATAAAGGGATTTATGTCTAATTACAAACTGTGATAAATACAGTGAAGGAAAGAAAGGTGCTATAAAAGAGAGTAACAGGGTACTATTTTTAATATTTTTTAAAACTTTATTTTTTTTCAGTGTTCCAAAATTCATTTTTGATGTACTACACCCCAGTGCTCCATGCAATATGTGCCTTCCTCAATACCACTGGGCTCACCCAACTCCCCACCCCCTCCCCTCCAAAACCTTCAGTTTGTTTCTCAGAGTCCACAGTCTCTCATGGTTTGTCTCCCCGTCCGATTTCCCCCAACTCACTTCTCCTCTCTATCTCCCCATGTCCTCCATGTTATTCCTTATGCTCCACAAGTAAGTGAAACCAGGGTACTATTTTTAATTAAGGGTGATGGTTAAGCTGGAATCTGAAGGATAGGTAAGAGTTCAGTGGGCACGGTTTGAAAAAGAGAATAGTATCAGATAGGTTGAACAAACTGAAAACCTTGAACTGGGAAGAACCTTGGCAAGGTCATGGTATTGAAAGAAATCAGTATTTTGGGCTGAATCACAGGGGAATGGTACGAGATGTGGTTGGGAAGGTAAGCAGGAGCCAGAATTCAGCACTTTCAGTCCTTACGTATTTTATTCTAAATACAGTAGGAAGCTTTTTTAAGAGTTTTAAGCAGAGATGTGGCTTGATTAGATTTTAAAAGATCACTCTGGAGGGGAGCAGGGGTTGAAGTGGGATGTTCTTTCAGTAGTCTAAATGTGAATGATGGCGTGAACTGTGGTGATAACACCAGAGAGAGGGAAAATGATGACGCATGTTAAGGTGCATTTTGGAAGTTCCTTGCTTTGGGATGAATTGGGTATTTGGAATGAAGAAGGAAAAGGTGTTGAAATAATGACATCCAGGATTTAGCTTCTGTGCTGAATGGAGATGTGGAAGCCTGGGGCAGAAGTAGTTAGGGGGAAAAGATCAAGTTCTATTTTGTTGTATGTGTTGGGGGCCTTTTACACATCAGACTGGAAATGAAGAACAGACAAATAGATGAGATCTGGAGCTTAGAGGAGCAGCTGGTCTAGGTGTAGACATTTAGATGGGTAGTTCTTCCCTGGTCTTCACACAGCTGGTGAATGATAAATAGATATTTTATAGATTTGCTGTTCTTCTGTGGGCTTACTTTTTTTTTTTTTTTTTTTTTTTTTTTTTGGTAAGATTTTATTTATTTGACAGAGAGATAGTGAGAGAAGGAACACAAGCAGGGGGAGTGGGAAGGGGAGAAGCAGGCTTCCTGCTTAGCAGGAAGCCTAATGTGGGGCTTGATCCCAGGACTCTGGGATCACGACCTGAGCCGAAAACATTAACAACTGAGCCCCCTAGGTGCCCCACAGTGGGCTTACTCTTTGATTTCTTTTCATGGTTGGAAGACTGGAAATCTCTGAAATGCAAATTTCCAGTTAGAAAAATGGAAATCAGACAGTCCATCCTTACCTTATCTGCAGCCTTTTATCCTTTCTTGTCATAAAGTCTTTCCATACACCTGATTCTGTTTCTCAGTCTGTGGCTGTATCTTTTTTCCCCTCATATCACCCAACTTTATACATTTTTGTTTTGAGTCTTTTATTTCCCTGGTGGCAAGCTGCTATTACATATGGTATTAATGAGACTAGTGAGAATTAAGACAGCTGTGTTCTTACTCCTGACATTCTCTGTTCTTATGGGTTGATTCCAGTAAAAGAGGAAGACAATGCTATGGGATGGGGCATCTGACTTTATGGGATGGGGCTTTCTCCTTTCTAACAACTGGAATTTCCCTTTTATCTTCTTTCCTTGGCTCTCACTGGATCCCATTCCAAAAAGAAACATGGAGCACAGTAAGCCTTGAGTAATTGTGGGGCCTGCCTAACTCTTTATAAACCTTTTTTTTTTCCATAAGAGAATACGGTATTATCCTCAACCATGCAGCACCTGTCGTGAAGTTAAAGAACAATTTTCCAAGAAGCTACAGAAATTAGTAACCCTGTATAAGAGAATGTCATGTAGGATCTACATTTTTTATGTATTATTAATTGGTGGTTGAAACAGCCATGGGATTTTTTTAGAGTAAGAGTTTCTTCTTTCACTTGGATCTCTTTTTAGTTGTCTTCCCAATTAATCTCTTGTAGTGACTTAGAGTCCCGTAGGGATGTGAAGAGAGAAGAAGGAGAGGCCTTTGCTCGGGAGCATGGACTTATCTTCATGGAAACTTCAGCCAAAACAGCCTGCAATGTTGAAGAGGTATTACTTGGGAAAGAGTAGGGAAAGCTTTTGAGAGATGACATCATATCTTTATTCTTTTATTCAGAATTTTCTTCTATAAGACCATAGGTAAGAAAAAGATATCTTGTGGTCCCATTGACTACATGTCTCCCTTTGAGGGAATTGTCTTTATTTTTTTTTTGCCTTGATTCCTACAGTGGAGTTTCACTTTTGCCTCGTGTAACATTAATTGGTAAGTGTGGATTAGACACCAGTGTTATTTGTAAATATTTTAGTTGGAGGGTCTCATGGGTTCTACTGTAGTTATTCTGAAGCCTACTATTGACTATATCTTTAGTAATTATTTGAGAACAGAGCATGTTTGTTTTATTTGGAGAAGGTGCCAATCTAGGGAACATTTTGGGTCAGTATCAAAATACCATATAATCCCTGTTTTCTTTTTGAAAGAGCAACTTGGGGGTGGGGGCTTCTGTATTTTTTTCTGGTCTCAATGGTTCCTAATTCATACCTTAGAAATCCAAGTGGGAATAATATTTGTATTTCCTTTTTCTAATTTCTCTATCTAAACTTGAGCCTAATAATATGATATTTGTCTCTTTCAGGCCTTCATTAACACAGCCAAAGAAATATATAGGAAGATCCAGCAGGGTTTATTTGATGTCCACAATGAGGTGAGAAAGGGTCCGGGGGGCTGACAGTTAACTTTGTTTTATGTTAAAGAGGACAAGAAATTTTCTATAATGTAAGCATTTCCTTTCTAACATCATGCTATTAGCTATGCCAAATCATACTTGATTTTTTTTTATGTAGGGATACAAATCTGTCATCATTTTCTGTTTGTTTTTTTTTTTCCTCAAGTCTGGGGCCCAGAATGCTTAAAGAGATGATTAGTTGGTAATGTAAAATGTTTATACAATATGGGAAGTTTCCTTTGCAACCTCAGTTTTTACTATTCCAGTGTTTAAGGGTGATATAATTCTTAACTGCTCAATTGGGCCATTTCTATAAAGCAGATTCTATATCAAAAAAAAAAAAAATCTTTTTTTTTTCTTAACTTAAGCACAGAGACATTTATTGTTAGGGCAAATCTTACATTCAAATGGGTTTTAACAAAATGAAAATGAATTATATGCTAATATCTACTCTTTCACTCCTCCTGCTCTTACCTAATCTCATCCTGATTCTGCACGTAGCTGTGAAACCTAAATACAGCTATCGCTTTAAAAATGGGCACAAGATAGGTGCTTAGGTGGCTCAGTCCATTAAGCATCTGACTCTTGATTTCGGCGCAGGTCAGGATCTCAGGGTTGTGAGATCAAGCCCTGCGTTGGGCTCTGCACTGGGCTTGGAGACTACTTAAAGATTCTCTCTCCCTTTCCTTCTGCCCCTTCCCCTCCTCCCTCTCTTAAAAAAAAAAGAAATGGGCACAAGAGTCACTTGTAGTCATCCATAATACTTATATCTGAACTGGTCATCTCATCTTTATTGTTGAAGATTATTGTTCCACAACAGTTTGGCTAGGGCACATGGTTACCTGCCAAAGCCAAATCTGCTTCTAGAAAATGTAATTTCTGATTTCTCTTTTTATTCCTTTTATCCCAGTTACTTTAGCACTGAGGTGGGAACTCTTGCCTTTTTTCTTTTACAGGCAAATGGCATCAAGATTGGTCCTCAGCAGTGTATTTCAACATCAGTAGGAACCAGCGCCTCCCAGCGGAACTCTAGTGAAATAGGGTCCGACTCCGGCTGCTGCTGAATATCTAGCCTGGACTCTTTTTTCCTTCTTGGAACAGCTTCAGATCAATAGGCTTAAAGAAAGAGGTCTTACTTGCTTTGGCTGAGAAAAGCCTCTTTTCAAGGTGTGATGTTTTGCCTTTCCACTTAAAGACCAGGGAAGAACTTGGGCCCTTACTGACTTGTCCTCCTTCAGGGACGTGAGCATTCCCTATAGATTAGGGCTCTTCTCATCCTCCTATTTTAATTTCTAAAATGTTATGATCAAAGTTGATTGTCATGGTAGCTCAAAAATAAATTATTTTATAAGCGTACACAATTGGCTCCCTACCAGGAATTAGTAACAAGGGTCTAGGACATTGTGCTTGAGCACTTGATTTTACTGTTCTGGCTGGCTGGCGTTTGGATGGTGGACCCTGTATCTGGGAATTTCATTGATTGTTTTTACTTGCCACTTTGTAAGAGTTCTTGCAGAAGGCAGTTCCTTCAACTTGAACTACTCAAGGATGCTGAATAATTTTCTACCATCCCATTGCTAGTTTCTCTGTCTCAGAGTAACTATAAAACTTTTGAGAGCAGTGGAGTTGTTCCTGGACCTGGGGCTACTTATTATCATCACTACCTAAAGAAAACCTCTTTCCCTGTTTGTTGTAGGGACCAGACCTAACACTGCAGTGTCTTTCACCAAATTAACCCCTTACTGTTTCACCATACTTCTCAACAAGACCTGTTTAGACTTTCTGCTCTAATCAAGCTAATCTTACTGGACATGTTTATTTCCACTTTTATGCCTTTGCATATGCCCTATTCTCTGCTAACATTATACTCAGTCCCCAAATTTTTCCTTCAGAAAGCCTTCTTTGACCTAGGGACTTCTAAATAATTATTGACCCAGCACCCCTTAAGCTTTCATATGTTGTTTATTCATATGTATATTTATTTATATTTATGTTACTTTGTAAATTTGTTTTGTGCGTGGAATCTGTCTCCCATCTAGGCTGTAAGCTCCTTGAGAGCAGGAACCATGTTATCCCTTTACTTTTGTAAACTGCTTCCTCCACTATTCCTTCACAGTGCCTAGTGCTACTTACTATGTGATCATTGGACTTGACTGACATACTTAAAGATTTGGAACAAGTTTATTGTAGACTGCAGAGGAAACAAAAGGCTTGAGTCATCTCTTTGTAACTCTCTCAGTCTCTTTCATGTGCTTACCCTAGATTCCATACTGCTCTTACCCCTTGTCCTTCTCTCCCTTCCCTGGCTCTTTGCCTCCATTCCATGCAGCATACAGTAAGGCTGTCAGCTTCCAAGTCATTTTCTTTTCAAGGGCATATACTAAAATGCTAAGCAAATTTGCCTTGCTTCACTCATCAGGCAGCCTTCTGGGTCAGTTTTTGTATTTTCTGCCTTGATGTCCCTTTCTCTTCCACAGCATTGAGGTCTCATGAATTTTTCTAATTTTTTTGTTGATGAATTGTTTCATTATTAAACATATATGCATGTATCCAAGCAGCTCATATTTCATGTGAATTTTTCTGATTTTATCCCAAACCTATGTAGATACTCTCCTTCTAGGAAATTGTATCAAAGGTATTGGAAGAAGCCACCTTGAGATACACTCATTTTTTAAGTTTTTATTTAAACTGCAGTTAATGTACAGTTTAGTTTCAGTTGTACAGTATAGCGATTCAACACTTCATACATCACCTGGTGCTCATAAGTGCAGATATATCCATTTGCTCTCCTGTAATAGTAATAATAGTTAACCCTACATCACAGGAAGTTGGGAGAACATTTGGGGTAGTGCTTTGATTATGCTTTTTTAAAAAATCCTACCTCATTCCAAAAAGGATTTGAGGCTGTTGGCTTTGGGGTTAGCCTGCCCCCCTCAGGCCTGGGACAAAACTAAATATAATTTGGTAGTTTCTGTACAGAAATTTCCAAGTCCCAGGGATTCTGTCATTGGTAACTGGAGGGGTACCTGGCTCGCTCAGTCAGTAGAGCATGGACTTCGTCTTGGGATTGTGAGTTTGATCTCCATATTGGGTGTAGAGATTACTAAAAAAATTAAAAAAAAAATTCAAAGTACTCATAACCTTCTGCTGGGTATTTCACCAATGTAAGGAAAGCATGAGAAAACTACTGGGGCAAATTCATGACTTGTACTGATAATTGCTGATACTCAGAGTGAAATGGTCATGAAAAATTACAGGAAGTAGATTCCCCACCTCCATGTGAAGAATGGTAGTTATGAAGTAAAAAGGGCATTGTTTGACTTTTAAAGGCCAGCACCAGGGGCACCTTTCTGGCTCAGTTGATAGAGGAAACGACTCTTGATCTTGGGGTCCTAAGTTCAAGCCCTCCCCGCCCTGCCCGCCCCCAGCCCCCAGGTGAGGCTTCTTGAAAAGCAGGGGTGGGCAGGATCACTGGAAATCTTTCTTATAACAGTCTAAATCCTACTACTTATAGATCATTGCAGATAGTAGAAATTAGTAGAGCAGGCCACACAGCCTTTCCCTTTTCCATAAATGCCTGCAATTTGTTCTTTGATAGGTTTATTTTGTACTAAATAAGCAAAAAGAACCTACTGGTTTTCATTCCATAAATGTAATTAAGATCATTGCTGTATATGCATCTATAAACAAACACCAAAGTCACAGCTGGTAAATTGTTTTGGTAAATTCTAATACTGACCTCAAATTGATAATGATGATAGCAGTAGCCAAGGGGAAATTTGGCCAATGGATTTTGCTCAGTACATAAGGAAATGTATTTGGCCAGGTCTTAACTACTCGTGTGATATAAAGTATTGATTCCTATGATTCCTTACCTTCTCTGAGTTCCTGTTATGTGTGACTATGCAAATATGTTATTCCTTGAGAAATACCTTTTTGTTTTTTTAAGATTTTATTATTTATTTGACACAGAGATCACAAGTAGGCAGAGAGAGAGGGGGAAGCAGGCTCCCTGCTGAGCAGAGAGCCCCATACTGGGTTTTGATCCCAGGACCCTGAGATCATGACCAATGGCAGAGGCTTAACCACCTGAGCCTCCCAGGTGCCTGGAGAAAATACCTTTAATGATCTGAAAGGACTCCCTTCACTCACAAGTTCAAAAAGCAAAGCCTTCCTGTAGCAAGTTGTAATTGCAGTAGAAGTGTATACTAGGAAATATAGGGAAGTGTCTTTGAGCACAAGAGAATTTCATCTACAATAATTTTTAAGATTTTATTTATTTATTTGACAGCACAAGCAGGGGAGCGGTGGGCACAGGGAAAGGGAGAACCAGGCTCCTCGCTGAGCAGGGAGCCTGACATGGGGTTAGATCCCAGGACCCTGGGATCATGACCTGAGTGGAAGGCAGACGTTAGCTTATAGAGCCACGCAGGTGTCCTCCTACCTACAATAAAATTATTTCCTTTCTAGTGTAACTGCTATTACCAGGAGATTATTCTCTTGCAGCCTATGTTTCTAAGGCTGTCCCCTGATGACCCTCTTCACTTATAATCTCTCCTCGAAGGCTTCCATCATGTGCTCCGTCGGTACTCACACATTTGAGCCTATTGGTTAATTTTGGGTCTTTAAAAAATAGTCTTCCCTAAACCCTGTTCATTTATGTGAGAGTCTCATGCCCCTGTACTGTCAAACCCAACACTGTAAAACTTGCAACTGAAGCATTAGGATATGAAGCATCTAGACTAGATATACAAACTACGTTGGTCTTATGCTGATATTCTGAGTGGTGAGGTGTCTATAAAGGAATATCCTAGGACTGTGAAAACCCACTCTCATTCCAAAAAAAAAAAAAAAAAAGATTTTTGTTGCTGCTTTGATTTATAAGATTTCTTCACTCATACGGGGGGGGGTGGTTGTTGCCTGTAACCACATTAAGCCCTATTCCTGACCATCGTGATTGGGGACATTCTGATTACATAACGTATGTTGGGGCTCGATCTAAGCAGTTCGACAGAACTCGGAAAACGGCTTCAAACTCCTTAAATACTCCTTCCTCTTTCCCGTCCCCAAGGAACCGGCCGGATCCAAGATGGCGTCCCTAAACAGGTAACTAAATGTTTTCGTTTAGAGCGCCCCCACCGGCGTGGGTTAAAAAAAAAAAAAAAAAGATGCCGAGAGGCCTAAACGCCTGTGAATTGAGCAGTCAAAGGCAAGCTGCCGCCAGATTTTATTTTCAATCAGGCATATCTGTGGTTGCCTACGTACCCTTCTCAGCCTTTTAGGACCTCCCACTCTCGAGAGACTTCCTGGATGGCACTCACACTACCTTGCTGGAAGAGGCCGGGCGTTAGCCCTGCCATTGGTGGGTTGCAGGTAGGTGGGCGGAGCCGAGGGGGGAGAATGGACTACCAGCAATCTAGATTGAGGCGAGGGCTGGCCATGCTCCGCCGGAAGGTGCCTTGTTCTCCGAGAGGGTGAGTTGAAACGCTGGCTGGAAAGGAAGCACCGGGACTTGTTCAGGTAGGCTTCCCGTTCACGCCTGCTCATCACTGTCGGTCCAAGAGTCTTTGCAAAATTAAAGCTCTTAGAACTGGTTTCAGTAACTCATCCTCCTCCTCGCTCGCCGGCTCCTTACCCGTCCCTCAGTTGTGAGGGATCAGGTGCTGGGTGATGCTCTGGACTGAACCATTCTCTTTTGTGAAAGGCCGGGGGAGAGGGCGGCTGCTGGGCCACGGGGCCTGAGTTGGGCCAAGTCGAGAAGGGGGCTGCCCCGCCGCTGTGGGGTTTTTAGGGCTTGTCATTGCATTACTGGGCGTGGTGTAGATTTGAGGCAGCTCCTTGTTCTCCTTGTCTCTTCAACGGAGAGAAAACTCCCCGGCTCCTTTTGGTTACTCCATACTTTGGTCTCAGAAGTGGGAGGTTAGGGTTTTTTTTTCTTTTTTCTTTTTTCCTTGTTTTTATTTTTTTTTCTTCGTATTTTAATAATAAAGTTGGGTAGGAAATGTTGGGGTGAGCGTGTGCACATTGTTACACGTTATTAGGTGTAATTTTTGTGGGTCTTTGGGAGGGAAGATCGGGCTTTTGAAGAGTGTTTAGAGATGGTGGGACAAGCGGAGCTTCAGCTTTGCATTTCCATTGACAGGTCTGCAGAGCTTACTGGTCTTCGTTGCATTATGTAAACTCTTCACTAGCAGGAGACCCCTCCCCCTGCCTCAGAGCTAATGCAATTTCTTTATTTACCTGTCTCTAGTGTCGCAGGAAATTTTCCAGCCATTGCAGCAGTTGTGCAAGTGCGGCAGCTTCTGCCCTTAAGGGACAGCCCTGAAGTGATTAGGGGGTTCAAAGAAGTGTATAGTGGAGGTGTATGGGCGTATAGATGTTTAGCGGACCAATCTTTTTTAAGTGACTGAGCATATTGAGCTAGGAGTGGGAGACTTAAGGACTCGATGTCTTGTCCTAATGGAATTGCCCCAGATTCAAGCCATAGGAGCTGCGTTTTCAGTGTCTACTGCATCCTACTCTCCCACCAGCATCCACAAATTATTTACTCATCGTGTTGTTCCAAGCCTGTCAGTTCAGTCAGGGATTCTCTGACTGGGTTATCCTTAGAGACGGCTGAGGTCCTACGGGGTGTGGGACAGTTCAGGTGCTAGTCGGTGAGTTTGGGATTTGAATATGGCCCTGTGTTAGTTAATTAGATAATGTCTTCTGCTTAGGAATTTCTTTTGTAGTGCTCACCAGACTTTAGAACAAATTGTGGTATTTTGGACTTATCCCACCTCTTAAAAGAGAGTTACAAAGAAAACA